ATGTTTCGATTCGTTTCACAATTCAGGGTCGTGACCCGAAGCTCAAGTATCATCAGGCTTCGGACCTTAAGGAAAGAGGGTTTTAGACCCTTTTGGATGTGGACAATGTAGATTAGGTGATTTAAGATTTCAGTTTGCGCTTCGGAGCCTGAGTGTATAATGGTAATAAGTGGTGGTTCAAGCCTTTTATGAATTTTTGATTTAATCTCGGGAAGTTTTAAGGCAAAGGAGAGCTGATAGGATTGTAGAGCTTCTCATTACCTTTTCGTGAGTACAAAGAATGTTAAAATCAAGGTTAGAACAAAGAAGTTATTACCGTTTGAAGTTACGAGGATTTTGGGCTAAGCCATGTATATTGGGCATACAAGGCTCTAGTTGATTACGGAAGGCAACCACGTACATTGGGCGTACGCTGGGTGTACGTGGTGTACATTAGTCGTACAAACTATTGGGACAAACCCTAATTGTTAGGGGTTGGATCCTATTTAAACACTTTATCTTTCTCTTAGACCTTCTTATCATTAGCCTTTTTCCCTATATAGACTTCCTATGATACCCTAGCTTGTTGTTGTGTGTTTTTGATCCATGGTAGTAATCTTTTGGCATTTTTGCTAATCTTTGAAGAAGGAAGATCTTGCTAGTGAAACTTTGGTTGGATTAGAGCTTAAGGATCCAGAGTCTTCATCGACTTTGCTAGAATTTGACGGTATAAAGCTCTTGATCACTCTAAGTGTTAGATTTAGTTTGAGGTATTTTTTGAGTTTAATATGGTCCCTTGAGCCATCCTTGTGAGTATGAGCTACTCTTGGAAGCTTATAATGTTAGATCATAGCATTTATGATGTTGTTAGGGCAAAACAATGCCATTTGGATGGGTTTTGATGAACCATGCAGGAGTTGGTATCCATATTATGGACTTAGATGAATAAAAACGGGTATTGGGTCCTATTAAGACATGAAAAGGAGTAAAGTTTCCAATTTTATCTATTAAGACTTCATTTAGCAGTAGATTTGAGGTATGAGCGTTGTGGGCTTAGTGGATTAAGTCATTTGGATTGAGAAGTGGGGACTGACCACTACACTGGGCGTACTGGGCTTATAATGAGTACACCGGGCGTAGGTTTGAGTATGTTGGGCATTCTCAACAGATGTTGACTGTCGTTTACTTTTGTGGTTTGGGCTATATTTGGACTATTAGGGTTTTGGGCTTTGTTAGGCCACTAGCCTTTCTGACTTTGGGCCATTATGAGGTTTTGGGTCTTCTTGGATTTGGGCCCATATTGGAATTTGGGTGTCCTTTATGAATAGGGCCACTATTGCGGTTTTAGTGCCATTGAAGTTTGGGCCTCGATTATTGGGCCAAGTGATGGAGGGGTAAAATGATCTTTTACCCTGGGAGTTGGAAAAATGAACTAGATTCACGGTTATGGTTTATGGCCTAATTATTAATTAGGGTTTTATTTGATTGGTTAGTGCAAGGATTCTCTAGTTCAGCAACCTGAGCATTTGTTTGACTGATAAGAGATTGAGGTGAGTTTGCTCAATATATTGTAGAACACAAAGATATGTTATACACTTGTAGTTTTTGTGACTCTTGTTGTATGTGTTGTATCCCTATGTGTCAGTTTGCTATATGTATGTAGGGTGAAATAGACCCAATATAGCCTTGTGCTGACATATGAGTTGAAATAGACTCGGGGGTGAAATAGACCCAGCACAGCCTTAAGCTGGCATATGAGGTTCAATAAACTCTGGGGGAAATAGACCCGACACAACCTTGAGCTGGAGGATATGTATGGTATGCGGTATTTTGGGAAACTCCCTAAGATTCGTGGTTACGGTTTATGTTTAAAATATTTTTCAGGTACTCTTAGTTCAAGAGGGAAAGGTCCAGCTTGATTACAACGCATCCACCCATGTTTCCACACTATATCGTTTTGGGAAATTTTACTCTAATAATTATTTTTACTATGTTGTACTTTTGAATGAATGAAATGATTAAATGGTATTAATGGTGGAACTAAAATGAAATTTTTATGTTTTAATTTTTGTGATGTTTCCAATAAACAAAATGTCTTGCTACATAATGATGTTCATCTTGTGTTTTAACCTTAAAATAAACTCCTTAATTTCTTTTATGGGGAAGCTATCCGGGAATAATCGAAGTTGCAAGTGATAAGATAATTCGGAATCAACAATATTTTGAAAGATTAAGTTGAAACAACACCGCATGATTTAGATATTCTTGTCATGGTATGCTTAGGCTTAAAGGCATAAGAAATGTGTTTACTCAAGAAATGAGATTTTGGTTTGACACCTCACTTAAAGTGAATAAAATGAGATGTTGGTATCATAACCTAGAGATCAGGTCCAATAGAAAAGAAATTATAAAAATGAGGGTTTATGAAGAGTGATTAGACTTTAAGTACAAAATCTAACAATGGGTTATCTACGATTATAGAAATAGGAATGAAATGGTATGTGTACTATAACGTGTTTTCGCATGTATTCCATATGAGATGGTAGTATGTAGACCATGCAAATCTTGCTTTGGTAGGTGTTCAGGCCAAGTTGAAAGTACTATGTTAAGTTTCGGACTTTGATACTATAAGAAGTAAAAAATGCAAGATGAAATGATATATCTGAAGCTAAGTTCATGGTATGACTTACTAATGGAATTAGTAAAGAATGGAATGTTGGTAATATGCGTGGACACAAAAAGGTACACGTTGGCAATATATAATGTCTACGCAAAGAAATGGTCAAATGGTGACTTATGGGTTGGGGGTATATGATAAGGCTTCTTACATGCCTTAAAACTTTTTAGAACATGATTCGAATGTATGTCTTAAAATATTTAATATCATTAATAAAGTATTTTGTTAAAAATATTAAAAGGGGACAAAAGGGTAAAAGTGTCCAGGAGGGTTAACAACCCCTAATGATGTATTATTAATTATTAAGATTGATTGAAATTGTGACAAAATAATCAATATGATGTGGATACCAAGGAAGTTGAAAAGTGATGGGATGAAATCCTAATGAGCTGACACACGAAGTAATTCTGAAGATTAAATCATTTTAAGGGGTAGATAATTGTAACATCCTAAACATTGAAGAATGGTCCTTAAATAAATAGTGGAAATAAGTTAAAAAAAATGATTTATATAGTTAAATGATCAAGGGATAGTCATATCATTTGTTGATATGAAGTTTAGAAAGTTAGAAGTAAAAATAGTAATATTTTAATGTTAAAGGGGAAAAAGTGTCAAATTATCAAATTAAGGTTACCAAAGGGTTCAATCAATTAGTATAAGGGAACACAAAAAACTATATAATGGATGGAGAAGAACTTATTATGTCAAAAATTAAGTTTAAGTCAGAAAATATGAATTTATGGTGGAAATTGGCAAATTGAGCAAAGTTGAAGGACAAAATGGTAAACTTTTTGAAAATAATATGTACGCTCCTTCCTCTCATTCAATAGAATGTATTTTGCAAGAAAGGGAGGAACTTACATGGTGATTTCATCTTCTTCATCATTTAGGGTTTAATTCAAGAGGTGATTTGTGCATCCAAGAGAAAGCAAGAGGAGTCAATGACTAATGAGGTATAATCTTTTCTTTTCTACTCCTAAATTCCGAGTTGAATGCTTGGAGAAAACCCCAATGTTGAATTTAGATTCTTATAATGGTTAGGCTTTTGGTCTCTAACACCACCTGGGTGATTTCAATGGCTCCAATCTCAAACCAATCATTCCATTAATGGTTTTGGTGAATTTGGTAAAAAGTCAACCATGAACCTAGAATCCCCATTTTGGGGACGTTGTACTTATATGTAAAAAGTCAAAATGCTCAAGAACATTCGAATCTAACCATACTACATTCGATGCTCGTGTTAGTTTCGATCTCAACAATGATGAACCCATTCAAGTCTCACCACCTTCCCGACCAATGGGAGGGGACAAAGCAAAAATCAAAGGCGAAGGCAAAGAAACAGATTCGGATGAGTTGAAAGAAATTGGTGATGATATGAAGGGTATAAAAGATAGAATTGACAAAAGTTTGCAAATTGATTCCGAAAGAGAGCTTCGGAAACAAAGAGATAGTGACATGAGAATACTAATGATGGACACATCGAACATGATCGGGGAGGATCTTGAAGTTTCTATATGATGAAGGTAGATGTCAAAAATCGTTATGCTAAGTAGGTTTAAAATTTTTAGTTTTTTTTTTTAATTAATATTTTTACTGTTTCATGTGTGTTTTTTAAGGTTGTAGGTTTAAGATTTCTAGTTTTTTTTTCTAAGCTTCTATGATTTTTTTAATGTCACGTTATGTTTTTTTATGTAATGTAATGTACAGGACTTTTTTAATTAATGAAATGTTATGTTTTTTTATGAAAATTTATTTTTTTATTAAATTTTGTTTTAAATAAAGTGTGGTACCACTTCATGGGTGTGACAATGAACCACACTTTTGTTGTAAAAGCTGACGTGACGCTTACGTGGTAGCAAGAAGAGTGTGGTTTCTGTGGCACCAATCCCTCCAGGCATATGACTTTTATCAACAACATCAATAGTGACGTCATCTATTGCCTCTAGCTGATGTTACACATTTCCATATTTTTTGTAGTGGATGAAAAGTAAAGTGACAGTTTTTTATTGTAGTGTTACTTTAAAATTTATTGATTTGAATGAATTGTAGGAAAAATTAAGCTTTTAGAGTTTTATGAAATTTTTTGTATATTTCTTGGTATGTAATGCAAGGTCTCCGCCCATGCAGTCACATACTACAAACCATGTGAGGCATGTAAACAACCATCCATAATATAGTTTTTGAATTTCAACACTTAAAAGTTAAAGGATTACCATAAACATTGAAAGTTAAACTCCAATACTCTCTAACCAAAATTAATGGAGATCGCTTTGTCAATAAAATAGGATTCTTTATACTTCAAAAAGATCATAGTAGGAGATGTTGCATGAACCGATTAAGCGTCTTATATATGGCCAGCCACGTTGTGGAGCACTTGGTCCGCTAGTCTTCGAACATATGGATCTTCCTATAAATAATAAAGCATAAATCAGTTTCAACTCATATATGTCAAATAAATAATCCTAACTCCTAAGTTATATTTTAGTGTTACAATATCTAATAAAAAAAGGACATGTTAAACTCATATATTAATTTATAAAATAATTATATCATTTTACACTACATATGTATGTTTGTTAGTGTGTTAGGCATGCATGCATATAACGTCTTACAAAAGCGAAGTTGAGATATCCAGGATCTCTCAGTTTGGCAGGGTAACATTTGCTCAAAGCATCACAAGCCCTATGAATTTGACACCATGAGTTAGAGCATGAACACGATATTAATGATTTTAAAAAAAAACACACTACTAAAGTACTAATATACAAACAATACAAGTTTCCAGAGATCAAAATTTACCCGACTAACCTAGAGACTTCAGATAGTCGCAAGAAACAGTTTAACACATGTTTCAACAACTGTAATGGTGGTTTTATGGTAAACTGGTCAACAACATTGATCAAGACTTGTGCAACCGCATAAAACCTTTCTGGGAATGTGCCACAATATCGTTGCCCCTCTTCGTACATTAGAATCTTACTAACCACAAAAGCTGCAACCTGCATATTGAAAGCAATAGATATATATGGTCAACAACTTGTAAAGGAAATCTATAGAGTCAAGATTTTTATTAACATACCGTTTTTGCCAGTTCACCACCCACTTCTATGCAACGAAGGCATAATGGAATCACTTCTGTTTCAAGAAGAAAGTGAATGATTTCTGGGCTGTTGGTATCCTCCACCTGCGTAAAAGTAAAATAAAAGATTTAAATGTGGTATTATATAATGTACAAGACTGATGTTTTGTGTTTGTACCTTTACAAGGGTACCGATGACACCTAAACTGGTGAGACGTAAGTAGTCGAAATGTTTGAGTCGTTGTTCAGTAGTGTTCATAAAAGGGTAGATGAAAACAGGCATTTTAGCTGCCAAAAATGTAAGAATCAAATGAATCCATTATATTAATAATAACAAATTCAACAATGCTGGCTAGCAGAATCTATGGTTATTTAGTACGTACCTCTCACAATACCCATCTTTGTGTCTGGATGAGATGCCATCGACTGAAGTAAGGCCACTGCATTGCAAACTGTCGTTGCTTCTTTCATACCAAGTGCAGGAGGGGACAACAACTTGTATGCCTTGCAAAATTCCTGCAACACATGAGTATTTTAGTTTTCTTTACCATTCACCACTTTTATATGTAAACAATAAACAATAAAAAAAAAACTAGTTTATTATAAAAAGGCAAAGAAAAAAAAAACCCGACTACGTACCTAAAGTGAAAATTTGAACTGAAAGTAAATGCACACAAGTTCAATAACATTTAGAGATGTTTTTGTTGGTTCGTTCCCTAGAAGCATATAAGAGTCTCATCCACTAACATCACATGCCTTAAAGCGCTCCCTAGCTAGTTGGGGAGGTTCATAACATGTATAAACTACAAAATATCCACAAAGGTTTAAAAGCTAAAGGACTTGAGAAAATTCACATTCGTTGAATAGGCATGTTGAAGATCATGCTCAACTTCAAGTGCTTGATGAATGTGTTGGATAATTCAAAGTCTCGGATGAATTTTGTACCAAATGCAATTTGAGAAACTTTCCTTATATTAAGCATTTGAGTTAGAATAGGACTTTGATTATGTTTAGTATAAATAAGAGGTTATTTAGAAGTAATTTTTGTTAAGGACATCCACACTGCATTGAACTCTATAGAATTCAATGAAGTGTTACATTATCATTCAGTATTTCATGCAACTCTATTCATTTTTATCCCACGATGCATTAAACCCTACAAGTTCACTGAAACATATTAAAAAAATATTTATTTAAAGATTTAAAGACTTTCTTTTTCCCATAGAAGAGTTCAATGACCATTGAACTCCAAATCCATTGAATGACAAGTAGGCATGACACCTCCTTTAACTCTTTCATTAAACTTCCCATTGTAGATGCTCTAAGTTTCGATTCTTACTTCTTAATAAAAGCTTGGAGCCCAAGCAACTTTCCAAAATATCATTTTGGTCCCTATTTGTTCCTTCTTCCTTCCCAGTACTTGAATTGTTATTGTGTTCATAACAAGTTTCAAATTCAACTGAATGCAAGAAAGTTCCTAGAAGAATATGAGAAAACATGGAAGATTTGGTTATGTGAATTAGAGGTTTGGGATGGATTGCCACACAGTTTTCAATGGATAGCATGTATGAAGATATTTGGTATTCCTCTACATCTCAGGGAGGGAGGATTCATAGACCATATCAATGGCGCTATACATCTGAATCAGTCTTACATATTGTGTTCCTAGTTTTTACCTTAAAACAACATGATATTATTGACACCATTTGAGTAGGGTAACCCTTAGGCATCAAGATTGGGAATTTTGAAGAACATGTTGCCAACCTAGTACTTTTCTAGAGAAGTCGATCTTATCCCATTAATTTGTTAGCTATCAATATCAAGGGAGTGATTGGTTCCTACAAATCAGAATGGATCATAAGATTGAAGTAGAAACCTAAATTCGACTTC